AACTGACCAGACATCACGCTAGCGCCATCTGCGCCAAGGCTGATAATAGGCGATCCGTTGGATTTCTGCTGGACTTTAGAAATTAGGTCTTTCGTAACTGCTGAAATAGCTTCTGCATCAAAAATTGGTGATTGCAGTCATGGACAGGAATCTCTCTTGTACCTTCTCAGTGTAGTAGCGAACAGAGAAAGCGAGCTCTTCTCTCTTGCCCTTGTCTTTGCTTTCGTCGATCAGTGCACTGAAGCACCCGGCAATTGCGATCTGATGGCATATCTGGTTCCGTATCTGAACCGCGAGTATAGACAGCATTTCATTGAGAGACGTTTTACTAGTGTAGTCCACAATAAGCCTTTTATCTGTTATCGCTTGGTGGAGACTTCGAAACTCCTTGTTGGTCTTCTGTTGCATCTTTATAAAAGTTGTTCAGTTGCCTGGGTTCTTCGAATCAGCCGCCTCGTCATGGCCCCAGAATGCTATTTCGTTCGTTGCAAACCAAATTACATATTGGAACAGAAGTTTAAAGTACTCTCTGTTGTTTTGAATTGTTTTCGCTTGGTCGGGAACCAGTTTCTCGAGTATACTTGTATCTTGTCCATCTGATATTCGGAGCTTTGCCTTCCATTTCTCGTAGCAAACTTTATGAACTTCTGATTTCTGGTGTTTTATAAAACCTTTGTCCTTGTCTAGGGCATTAGTGCATTTCCTAAAGCCAGTTACGGTAAATGTGGTGTCTGCGGAACTTCTTGAGCCGACGTTTTTACAAGCAAAGCAAAATGCTTTGCAGCATTTGCTCAACCAGCTCGCGTTGAAAGATCTTGTTTTTTTGCTTGGAAAGTTTGTATTTATCGGACATTTCTGGAGCTTCGGTTGTGATGGTTTAATGTCCAATTCTTGACTGAGATCACAGGAGCTTGCTTGGCTAGTTTGAAGGGCGTATTCCTTTTGAGTCGCTTCAGGATCACAAATCGTATGAACTTCATCTGATCCAGCATCATCTCGTTCAGCATCATCTCGTTGAGTATCATGGTCATCTCGTTCATCTTCAAGTTGTTGATCTTGATCAATTGGTTCGACATCATCTAGTTGTGCATGTGGGTCATCATGTAGTTGTGCATGTGGCCCAGCCGGGTAATGATTCTAGAGAAAAGCCGCCATAATACATTTTGCGACATGAAGCAAACAAGCGTGGCAACAGTATGAAAATTAAAGAATAATTTAAAATAAAATAATAAATAATACTGCAGAAAACTTTAATAATTCTGATGATTACTCACCTTTGTTTTTCTTTTGTTGGAAAAAGTTTGCAAGCGTCGGTTGATGCCTTTTCATTGTTGTCTCTCGTTGGTTCACCCAACAAATCGCAAATCAAAAATCACTCACGTTAATCGTTATGTTTCGCAGGCTTTCTTGCCATCCTACTTTTCCTACTTTTTCCTACTTTTCTTCAACTTTCCTACTTTTCCTATTTTTTGTTAAAAATTGCTTGATTTTCCTACTTTTTCCTACTTTTTCTCATAAAATCCTACTTTTTTAAGACAGCTTGGGGAGTCAGTATGTTATAGCTCTCGTAATTAGATCTATAGGACTCGTAATTTTTATTCCCTACTTGTGTCCCAGATGATAAGATCTCAGGAAGAGAAGAAGTACATTTTCCGAGTATATAATTTAATAGCATCTCTAGAATCATAATCAATAAATTAATAAAGACTCTGAAAGTGCCATTTCCGACGATCTAGAGATTCCAAATATTCAACTCCCCCCCCCCCTCAGTTAATCAAGCATCATATATACAGGGCCGTAGCAACCGGGGGGGTTAATAATTTGCTAATAATCATTTTTTTCAAAATCATGCAGACCTTTATCATTTAATTAATCCATGACAATTGACAAACTGCAAAGAATGAAGATATTACCCATACTTTCCTGCAACTTATCCAATATACAGTTAATTAAATACGCCTTCGCCCATTTAATACTACTAAATTGTAAATTTCGACATACTAAAACGCTGTTTTCTGACCATCAGAATTCTGTCAAATCTTCCCCAAAGTCCAGGAAATGGCATTTCAGAGACTCTAAATTTAAAAATTTCCTCGGGCCTTCGGCCCTCGCTTTCAGCCCCCCCCCCCCAATCGAAAAGAGCTTCCTACGGCCCTGATATATGCTCCTGCCGCAGTGTGAATTGGTGTATTGTGTAGCCCAATACATGCATTTGAATTGTGTTGCTGCAGAGCAGATGCCTTAGCTTTTATACCGATGCAATTTAAAAGTTTTTGAGAAAAAATCCTGCATAGATGAATGAGTACATAAAAATATTGAGCACCAAAAATTCACACAACTTCCCCATCAGATATCTAATGGTCTACCCCTTACCACATATATCATAGGGCGCCAATTTTGTATGACCTTGTATAATTTTGTGTTATTTGCATCTCCAAAACTCCTACTTTTGTCCTACTTTTCTACACATTTTCCTACTTTATTCCTACTTTTCCTAAAATTCTAGTCCTACTTTTGTCCTACTTTTGTACACAAGGATGCCAGAAAGCCTTATATATATATATATATATATATATATATATATATATATATATATATATATATATATATATATATATATATATATATATATATATATATATATATATATATATATAATAGTGACATAAATCATGCAAACACTCAACAATCAATGACTTGAAATATCCATTAATAGTACTTTTGAATAAGTCAATAGAGAGTTGATTGTAGTTATCCCTTATTTGCATAGGTAGTTTATTCCATCATGATGATCCACGATAAGAGAAACTACTTTTCATAAAATTCGTGTTAGGTTTTTTTAAACAGAGATTTCTGTTATTACTTCGAAGGCTATAATGTTATTACTGCAGACGTCAGCCATGACTATATGATGATGCCAATGTAAGGCCGCCCGGTAAATATCACGATAATAATCATGTTGAAGATGTATCTCCATCGTCATGCCTGGAATTACTGGTCACTAAAAATATATCCACTAAAAATATACCACTTTAGTAATTACGTCATTATATCAATGTCTCGTTCTTTTAAAGACTCACTGCGTAGCCGTGTAGCCACGTAGCCGCTAAAAAATGTATCTACTTTAGTAATTACGTATTATATCAATGTCTCATTGTCTCGTTCTTTTAAAAACTCACTGCGTGACCAGTGAAAATTATAGCCACCTTATAATTTCGCAATTATTACTGCCAACGTCTCGTTCTAATTTATCGAAATTTAAAACTCACTGCGTTGCCACGCAGCCACCAATATTTCTATCGGGTCTTCAAAAGTGAACGGGTATTCTGCAATCGCTCCCTGCCAACTAAAGAAACTGATACGAGGCAATTAATTAAAGGAAACGTCACCTTCGCCATGGTTTAGGGTTGCAGTCGTAAATATTTCCGGGCACATTCAGGCCCATACGCGTTTGACCATTTTGACGTCGTTTACTGTAAATTTATGCACAGTAATAACATACTATGAACGCAATATATATTTTCATTGTCAGTATCGTGGCAAACCTTGGTGAATATTTATGAATTGATAGTCCTCAAAATAGAACATTGGTCATTCAAAGTCAACGCAGTCAACTCAAAACACTTAGTGAAGTATGCATCATAAACAAACATGTTTCGCTGTCTCTATAATATTAGTATTATTATCATTTCTTTTGATATCGTTGGTAAATAAAGAAATGTTATATACATCAATTGGTCTATATGGTAAGTGTATTTATTGGCTGATGTTTACACTAGACGTGAATAAAAGTGTCAGTTCTATTTGTTCGCGTAGTTTGCCGTATAAATGCGGCGATCAGTCAGAGTCTTACAGTATATTTCATAAGTCAACTAAAACCTTTTACTTTAGACCATGCAGGTCAACGCAAACAGTAGGGTTACTCGGCATCAGAAAGTGTCCGCTCTGTTTACCGGCTGCCAACCTGATGAACATATTGGCAGCCAGTAGA